AGGTGGCGCATTATATCGCTCGCACGGTCGCTGATTCAAGTTCCCGGACGATACCCGCCTAGACCAACCGAACCTTCCATCCTTCCGAGGGGGGTTAATTGGTACCAGGCTCGTCTGGGATGATAAAAGCACTGCTTGTAAATCGGATGGCTACCGCAAATCATTGAATAGGCCACGTACGCACTCATTACGCCACTACGATTCTGAATGGAAGTTGAATGCATGGGCGCATCCCTCAGACGGGATTGTTTAACGCCAAAAGACCTTATCCTTTATCTTAAGTCCCCAAAACGTATGCAATCTATTCTCGTCATAGGATAACATTACTCCTTTGTTACTCACTAGTTTTGGGGGAGGGGAGTTTTTCAATTGCTTCATGAAACTTTGGTAAGTAGAGGTTCAAGTCAATGCTCTGGTTCCTTGAAAGCATTTCAAACTTTGTCACGCCCCTTGCAATCCCGTCAAGTTGTTAGGGCGACCTTCCTTCCATGAAGATGAGCCTTGGACATTGTTTTGGCAACAGTTGGACATCTGGTGTTTTTCCCCAATATTTGCAGTGTTTTTCCAAAATATTTGCGAGTAACGTATCGTAAATATTCGACGTTCAACAAGAGCCACTATTTGGTTCATAACTGGCTGAACTTCGTTGCGTTTGAAGGGCAGTTCCACCTTTTCTACTGGTCCAAATTCTTCGATATTTCCGCTGACTATTCCCATGGATGCGTTGGTTTTCACAATGAGTTCTTATAATGGTTGCATGGGTTTTCACAGTGGGTTTTTATAATGGTTACATGAAGGTAAACGCCTTCAGAAGTCTGCCATCCATACCTACCGTTTAGCCCATCATAAAGTGAAAAATTGCTAGTGAAAAGCTGTGAACCAATTCTCACATGTGATCTGCGATGAGACATTGTCACCTCATGCTTCACTTGTATCATGGGAACGACCATAGAAGTAAAAAAAAGTGAAATGTGCCGAAAGTGCTCTATGTAACCTCCATCTTCGAACTGATCTTTCACAAATGGAAAAGCAACTCGTTCAGTTCTTCTCAAAAAAGGGAACAAAGACAAAAAGGACCTGTAGTGTATGTCAAATGAAGAGCGTTCAAGCTTTTGAAAGCTTCCAGAACAGGCATTGAAAATTCGAAAGTCGCATTACTTTCCGAACAACCCAATGTAAGGCATTTTCGTCCAGGTGATTTCGAAGGTGAATGAAGGTCAGAAAGCCACCTTTGTCGAGTGTGGTGGGAGGAGCAAAGCTGCTCATTCAACCTCTTGCAATTCTATCCTTGTACCTTCTCCTTCACTGCAGGCGGTGGAAGATTATTCTGCTGGGTAAGCACGCCTTGTCAATTGTCACCAAAAATTGTCACCATCCAGTTTACTTTAATAACTTTCTCGTTCTAGAAACAGCCCCGTTCCCCTAATTGGTCCAACACTGGAGCTAAAACGCTTGTGTATTGAAGGTCGCATTCAATTCCCTGTATTTGCCGAATATCTTGAAACGTGCTACTAAAAAACGTGGAAAAAAATGCCAATTTCATTTCATCCACAGCGGTCCAAAAATAGCATCATCAGTTTTTAAGCCTTCCTTCATCAGAAAATTCGTGAAATACAACCTAGATACATAGAACATATTAATAACCATATCCTCATATACAGCAGGAATAGTAATTTTGTACTGTGAGCAAAGATTCCATGACACAGATTTGAAGACTCACATCACCTTTCTCTTGTCACAAATGAATTTTGTTGCTTGTCCCTTCGAGAGGAAAGCACCCCTAAATGTGCGAAATCGCGCTTTTTCTAGACTTTCTCCTACGTACTGAACAGCACACAGCCATTTATTTGAATTCCATTTTTTGCTTCTTTTGTATTTATACTCGCATTAGTCATCCGGTCCCGCCCACACTATTTTTCACGAATTTAAGGTCCAGTAAATAAACAAATGAGAAGCGACTTTCATGTGCAGAACATTGCGTTTACTTGGCAGCGTTCGCGCTCTTGTTTATCCAAATCGATGGAAAAGTTTCTGTATTTGTGGTATTTTTATATGTATAGTTTTTATCCATGATTAAATTTTCTGCGATCATACTAGATAAGGACGACCAAGTGTCCACCATAGTTGGGCCATCGCCAAACTGGCATGGAATGATAGGATGAAAGAAGAAACCTATCACGGTCACAGACTAGATTAAATATTCTGCTTTGAAATTCCTGGATCAGTTAGAGGACATTCGAAGGCAACACTAATGTAAAGACTGTCCCATTCAACAAACGGCGGCAGAGCTAAGAGGAATTTTCATAAAAAGAATCTTTTAAATTAGAGCGCCAACTCAAATAAGGGCGGCACTACGGGAGTATCTCAAGAAAGCTTTCAAAGTGTCGGAGAAAACTTTTCCCACAATTCAAGTCTTCTCCTTATAAAAACGGGAGACCTTCCAGGAATCATAAAAGGTCACAATAAATAAACGAATATGAAATCTGAAAGTGGGCCATGTGGGGAGGAATCGTGGTCAGGTGAGGTGGTTTCCGTGATTGAGCACGTGCATATGGTAAAAAGATTGTGAGCAGACGCACGCCGGCCTAGAAGTGGTAGAAAAGAAGAATAATCGCGAAGAAGATTTCATCGGTAGAAAAATTATGTCCAACCCCACTGAGACGAAGGTTGAAGAAGACGTAAGAGCGGTGTACAGATGGTCGCATTGTTGCTGTATCCCCAACAATGTAGAAGTTCCTTACTTCTTATAACCAGCAGCTTGAGCCTTAGGTCAATCGGTTTTCCACAATGAGTATTAAGGAAGACAATGCGAAGAGTAAGAAAATGTCTTGTCGGACTCTCAGGTGCCTGGTCGACTTGAATGTGAACTGAGTAGAAGGTGTGACCTGAACTCAACTATGCGACATTAACAATATTACGTCAACTCATTGAACGTCTGTTTAATTAGCTATTGTGGAAGCCGCTATGTGGAATTTCGTGAATAGTTTTATGGGAACTTTGTGAGGATGAATTTTAGGATAGTGGTCAATAGCTAAGGTAAACATCATGAGCAGTAAGAGAACCTTCCACAAATTGAATCTTGAAACAAACGGAACACGCGGGTAACCAAATTTCTGTCTACCGGGTTTGTTGGTAAGCAAGAAACTATTGTCAGAGCCTGTCGCCACTTTTACCATGCATTTTTGCCATGCAAGATAGTAAGATTGCCTAGAGACTGCTGACCATCCATCCGCTTAACCTGCAGAAAACCTTCTTGTCAATCCTCCTGCGACATTGTTAGAAATGAAGGATAGCGGTGTTGGCAGTAGCTTTTATACAGTGCATCTCCAAATAATACAGCCACCTCTGATTTTCCCAATAACTCACTTATACGATGTCCCTGGAAAAGTGCCCAAGTAAAAATGTGTCATATCTGAACTGCAATTCGCACATTATTACCAAATTCTAGCTCGGCAACCCACACTTTTTTGGTTTGGTTTGGAGCGAACCAAGCTTGTTTGCACGTGCTGACGTGAGATGGGGCGTTATCTTGCTGAAAATAAGATTTTGGTGCCAGTTCTGACACCAGAAAGGGAGAAGTGCACGGCGCATATCACTCCGATAAAAGGGCTAGTTCATTTTCTTTGATATAAAATACAAAGGTTAGGCCTACTCGATGAACTCGCGGCCCGAACCATGACTCCAGCTCCCCTGCATTTCCGTCTAGAAATGAAGTTCTTCCTCCCTCAAGTCGTGCCATTAAAATTGGTTCCCGTCTGGACCATTATAATTGAATTTCGTTTCATCGGAAAAGACGACCTGAGAACGAAAACCATCAAGAGGAAGAAGGTCAAATGTCAGCACATGAAGAGATCTTATTCCACTCGGTTCGGCTGCACCATCTGGCAAAAGCGAACCGATCTTCGCGATGTCTTTTTATCATGAGGGGCGCCCTACGCATTTTCCGCTTGAGGATGAATCCGGACTTTCTAATCACCTCCCATGCATGAGACATTGAGGTTCAGAAACGATCTGATTCCCCTAGAGAACTTCGTGGAGTACGACGCTTCCCTCGAAATACGGCCTGTCTCTATCGGACAGCAGCGAACGACGTCCAGTACTACATCTGGTTTTATGAGCTTCAGGATCCTTGATGGAATTAGCATCAACTGCGTGACATCGACCCAAATCTTACGCAATTCCGACGATCCCTGCTCCTTTTTCGCGAGAGTTTAAGTTTTCTCTGATTCCGAAAGCAACTTTCCTATTCCTATTACCCGGAAACTGCAATTCAGATTTGACGCATTTTTTAGCACTTTTTCAGAAACGTCGTATACTGTTAGTTTTTGGGGAAATTACGGGTGGCTGTATCATTTGGAGGCGCACTGTAGAAGCTATGAGTTAGGCCACAATTTTCAGGAAATCATGGGCTGATGCATACCTAGCCCGAGCTTCCCTATGCAATCGCAATCTTACAACCTATAATACAAGGAATCGCAATCGAAACTACTCCCTGTCCTGAATTTTATGAATCAGCAACCATCCCTTCAAAAATCGAATACACTTGGATTTATCACTGTAGTTATCGAGACCCCGTCATCCCCTATTCGTCCAGTCTTGTAGAAAACAAAATCGCAGTTCCTTCAGAATTGAAAATGCTGAAAATTTATCAACGCTGAAATTTTTTCAGTGGCTCCTAACGTCTGTAACTTAAAAACACTAGCACTGTTTGATGCTGTGTTTTCTTCAAGAGCGTTTGATGAGGCCTGTCCGAGCCCTTAGTTACTTTCGGACCTTCACAGCCATGAGAAGATTTCATAACTGGCCAAATTTTTGATGACAAGAGAAGAGCAACCCTAATGTTTTGCTTCCTCAGCTCTTGACATCTATCTCATGACTAAAGCCCCAGTAAACTACCTCATGACAAAAGCCTGAGTAGACTGGTGATTAAGCCCTATCGAAAAGTTGTTGAAGCCATTGTCATCAACCTCCACCATGACTTGAAAAATCACTTTCAGGTCATGAAAAAGCTCTTAGTAATTTTCGTCGCAACTCTTTTTCTTCTCCTCATCAGCGGCGAAAACCTTCACTCATCGGAGACCGCAGATTCAACAGCTGCAAATCATGAAGCTGCCAGGCAAAGCAGTTGGAACACGACAAAAGAAGAACTGCTTAAGAATGGCGCAGCGAGGTCAGTTAGTTCAGAGTTTGTGGTTAAGAAAACTCATACCTTCTCCATGGCTGGTAAGTACACTTTCACATTACCACAGCCTGCACACCTTGTGGTTGGCCACATATTTGTTTTGTATGCACCCGCGCATTCGACTTCTGTTCAAAGCCACAGAATATGAATGTGCATTCACCTATACCGTGACTTGCGAGTGCTGGCTGATGAACAACTCAAAGCCTACAGTTCCAACTTCTCTCTTGTTCTTACCTCGAGATTATGGTTTTTTTAGGTGGTACTCTTTATTGAATCAACGGCTAACGTTCCGATGTAATCGTTGTCTTCAGAGGCCAAACGCAACTCGAGATGGTTAACAATGCCCAACAGCTTCAAGCCCACTTCAAAATTGTCGCCACTGTGTTCCCCAGCTTCATATCAACCAAGCGCTGCCACCTTGTGGTTGGCCACATATGCAGGATGCTCTTCTATCCGTATAGCTAGTTGTGTTCTTGCCTCTCTGGTATAAGTTGATCCACATGTCCGACATTTGAGCTGAGTACGCAATCGCGTGTTCCCCGAAGGGACCTGTGATACGATCTCTTGTCAAGCACCGTTTATCGTAAAGCTGTTGTCAAACCCAGGAGGAATATTCACCAGCCGAAAATCAACTTGCAGCTAATTGTTATATCTGAAAATGCCCTGCGACTTTATCTGGGATTAAAGAAAGACAAAGTGGTAGCTTCTTCAAGCGCGAATCTCCCTCCGTATCAGTACGACGCTTTCCAAAGCGTCACGGTACCATTCGCCTATGTTGCCATTCGGAGTGGCTGCTTCGCAGCTGAACTCGGTTAGGTTCAACCTTTTCGTGCAGATACTTCTTGTTGTTCTTGACATGTTGTTGACGACTGCACGTTTACCGGCTTGTGGATGAGCTGGTGCAGCGTGAATTGAGATATACATTACCAATGTACGACTTCAACCTAACAAGGGCGCTGGATACTTTGACTGATGTGTTGAGATAAGGGAGCAAACCGTCGTATGGTATCTCTCTTGCGAGTTTAGTGTCCTCGGACTGGACTCATTCATAGGTTGAAAACATTCGTCCTTTCGAACTGCGCAACAATGGTGTAGCAGTCACCGATATATCTGCAATGCACTGGAAGATGACGTTCCGAAACCTCTCCTCAATTAAAGGGGAGGAGGAAGTATTTTCCTGTCATTTCGAAGAAGTTGCAGCTTAAGTTTCCTCTACGAACTTCATTGTATGTATTCTGCTATCTCCAAAGATATCAGTGTTACTAGCATGCCTATAGAGCATTTCGCTCATGCCTGTCGAGCCTAGCCCGCTTATTTTGAAAATTAATTTTAGGCGAAGCAAGTTAAAAGCAAAATCACATTATCTTCTCCGATATCGAAGATATGTAATGGTCCAAGGATATGCCTAGTATTAGACGGAACCCTGGTCAATAGCTGGCTTACAATGTTATTGAAGAGCCCTGAGATTCTGCTTGCTGCCCCCGCACAGCTAATGATTGGACAAATTTTATAAGTTTTCGGTGATGTTGATAAGGTATCGGTAGGCTGCTTTCATAAACGCCAGCCGGCCGGCGAGCGCGCGCGCTGGCCGAGAGACTATGTACTCGGCCTGCGGTATCAATCAAGATTCAGTTTTGAACAAGTGGCAAGCGCCGCCCTGGGCCGGCGGACTATGAAAGCAGCCTAAAAACAATTTACGGGTCTATATGAGCCCATAGGGTGGAAGTGGTGTAGCTGCAAGTGCTATATCACACGCATAGCCACCTAAATCCCTGATCGATCTAGACCAACCAAGCCCCTCATCCCTCTGGGGCTGTTAATTTGTATCAGGCTCGCCCATAAGGAAAAGACGGCTGGCCACTGGAAGTCACTGAAAAGGCCACACACTCATTCAATTCCACGATTCTGAACGGTAGTCCAATGAGGAGCCTATCCTTCAAACAGAATTGATCAGCGCCTAATGAATTCACCCTTCATCCTTACATGAGGCTATAGAAAATTGGACAAACAAGTGCTTACAATCTTACAGAAGAGACCAGAACGAATTTCTCTATCCCGTATGGGTGGAATTTTTGAGTTATCTTAGCATTATAAATTATTCGGGATTAGATCCTCTCATCATGCATGTGTAAGCAGCGTTAGTTGGCAGTATTTTTTATTTTTCGCGACATACATATATCCTGACTGCCTTGCTTCAGAAGTGGATCAACATGTAACCCAACCTTATCAAACTATCAGGACAGTCAACTTTGGATTTTGTTCTGGAGTAGGGTGGTGTGAAGCCTAAGTTTTCTCTGGTGTGTTATTTTTTATTTAGAGACATCCGAATAAAACGACAGTGGATTTATGAAGAATCTACCCGATGTGCAAGATCAATAAGGCAGAAGAGGCAGTACTATAACCCGTACATGGGAGGAGGAATCGGTGGTTTTGGAGGATTCGGAGGAGGATGTTGTTGCTGTTGCTGTTGCTGCTGTGGAGGTGGAGGATTTGGTTTTGGCAAAAAGTAATTGTTCGCATGGAAATAATTGTGAATAGTCATAAACATGTTGTATTATCATTCGAAATACCGGGATCGAAATACCGGGAAAGACAATGAGAAGTAATGAACGGTAGATCCTCATAACGGACTTTTGCCAAACTATTATTGATTGCATCATTACAAAATATTCGAAGGAAAATGTAGAGGTTGTTATTCTAGTATTACATGTGGCTTATGCAGCACTTAACGATATATAACGAAGACCTTGTCAGAGCCCTGGTTAAGAGGAATAGGGTCTACATTTTCTAGGAACACTGTCCCCACCTTCGAAGCGAGTGCACAATGGTTATCCGCTAATTCTCGGAATAAACACCCTTTCAAAAAGTCCTTTTATAAAGTAAACATAGTGATGCGGTAGTACATGATACCACGACTGTACGCAAACCTTGAATCCAACTACGACTTGCTTTGGATTTGTCATCTATGGGCGCTCGTGGTTGATTTGAAGTGGCACCCAATGAAAATAACTGTCGTGCAATGAGATTCCTATACAAATTCTATGATAATTTATCCTTCCAAGTTACCCGCTAATCTCTACAGGTAGACAGATCGATCCGCTTGTTTTGAGTTGTCGATGATCGATTAATTCGAAAGCTCATGCCTTCTCGCACTTCCTCTTAATTCCAGGCGTGATGATATATGTAGAACTCGTTTTTCACGTAGAAGGAAGTGTGCATTCTTTTCACACTCGAATTATAGAAGGCTACGGACCCTTCTGTCACAAAATTGGAGCTCATGGGCCATATCACAAAGTTGGAGGCTACATTTCACTTTGAAACCTCTATATCCCCACAAACGTACGAGGTATCCCTCGCGAAAATATTGGTCCATCGTCGCTGTTATCACCAGGCTAACGTAGAGGATCATTCTGGCCGGTCACGGACTCGACTTCCTTGCAGTGCACCTCCCGTTCCCTTCTATGTATGTAGATGATGCTCACGTTGTGCTGCAAGAATGAAAGCCTTTCAACAGATATGATGACGCACCTTTCGGTCGGAATCTTTCGCTGTTGATTATATTGAGGAGCGTTTGAATCATTTAGAACTTTTTTCCTTGAAACCTCTGAAGCCCAGTTTGAGCGAATGTTTAGAGTTTCTCTTTTGCTCGGATAGAGCTCCACCCTCATTCAGCAGGTTAGGGGTAAAACAAGTTCGCTTTCAAATCCTTCCTAGCGTTCATAGATTGTGAGGGAGCTCCGTAGATGCCCAACATTGAGCTAAAAACCTCTTACAACGAATTCTNCTACCAACTGTGCCGCCATTGCACAGCTAAGCCTTTGCTGGGATCGGTGATCCGTTCGGTACAGTGGCATAACACAGGGAGGCATTGGTCCCTTAAGCTTGTTCCCAGTATCGTCGAGCAGATTTGAACACAGATTTGAGATCATTCGATACCACCTACTGCGGTATACATCTCATCTTGAATGCCCACTGTGACTAAGTTTCCTTCCCTCAGGGCTAACAGGGTAGTGCAAAAGTTATTCATTATGTTCCGATGCTTGCGGCTATGAATAAAAGTCTCAACCAATCGAAAATTCAACTTCAAACAACCAAAGTCTTGGATTTAGCCCCAAAGTAATTACAAATCTTTCGAGCCATGAAAACATCATTATGAGATGTCGTCAGATTCAAGGATGGTGCTCCCAAATGTTGCTGAGTGATAATAACACCGTTAACAAATGTCGCTATTGATAGAAGTTCTTTAAGTTCTTTACGCTATGATATATGTATTAAAAATTGAAAATCCTCAAATATTGGTGGTTGGATGAATTTTGAAGCAAATGATATCGAAGCGAAGAAACGTTATTCTTTAGTCTGAAACGTAGCAGTCGTTACCTAATAGCGAAAAATGAACAAAATTTCCATTTAGTTATGAAGAAATGCCCTTGATCGGGGCGTATCACTGCATTCCCCTGTCTTATAGAATGAAACATATCAGGAGACAAAGTTTGAATCGTAGTCGTAAATACCAAAGCCGTTAAGATTCAATTGGTAAGTGGCTATTGCTCTCTAAGGCTCCTTATAAGCTCTTATCAGATGTTATCAGTCCCCGTCACAGAGCACCCACGACAACGTCACATCCTCTACCGGCTATCAAAATGCCAAGATCCCACTTTCAGCACGAAGAGAGTTGCAAATCAGCGGTTCTACCCTACTATAGCTCTTCGTAAGCCCTTGATTGCTTGTTATCGGCCCTTGTCACCAATCATTTTCGTCCCCTTCACATCCCACACTTTATTCTAAAGGGCTAAGGCTGCACCGTTAATGGGAAGGAAGTGTGGGATCCTGCGGCTCTAACGTTCCTTAGTTCTTATCAGCTTTTTTTCGATTGTTGTCCTTTCCAATCATGCAGTGGTTCGACCTCCTTCGAGCTTCCCGAACTCCCGTTTACTCGTGTGATGTTATCCAGGTGATATCTGTGAGGCATTATGTATTGAAAGTTACGCCAACAGTACTTTGTAGCTACTGGCCGATTGACGAGACCTTATCCTCTCATACCTATCAACTGCCTCGACTTGCGCCACATTTCGTATTTCGCGCCTTATTCGAACTGTTCCTCCACGAAGGGAAGTCCAGCTCTCTGTGCATAACCGTTATAGGTGTGGCATTATACTCCAACATTTTCATTTATTTCCACCCACCCTTAATGTTTTATGTCACATTATCCATCTCGCCCAATGTACTTTCATTTCCGAGGTTGGACGAAGTTATATGAAGAAAACGCAGCGCTCGAAATGGCAACTTTCTCCTGAGTCATGGGTTTGGAAGGGTTTCAAAGTAGATGTTCCGGTCAATGGTTATACCATGTTTGTGTAAGGAGATGATCAAAAAACATTCCGCTTCTGAGCCTTACTTTGCGCTTTGCATTAGCTTTTTTATCCAGTACATTATTACTATCACATATGAACCGAACAGTATTTACGTCAGTGATAGCTCCGTGTCATTCATGTTAACATAAGCAAAAGTGGATCCAAATGGGATTGGATTACACAATATCTGTGCAAATATGACAATATGACGATAATAGTGCCTCTAGAAATTTATCGTCTCTCCCTTAGAAGTGCGAACATTGCAATGATTCGCCATGGTCGGTTTTTTTGTATTCGAAGTACTCACTTATCATTTCAATTTATCGTAGTTATTACTTTGGTTTTTCAAGTGTAATTGCCTCATGGGGCTTTCAAGATCAACGCTTTCTCCATGATATAAAGGGATAGAGAGACTCAAAACCTCTGATTATCGAGAGGCGATAGAACAATATGAAAGTTACAGAGTAATACATAAAACGACGAATGTAAACGAAGACCGATCAACGCCCATAACCCATACCCATGGGATAGCCCATGCCACCATAGGGATACCCCATTCCACTCATCATGCCCATCGGACCCATCATGCCCAACTGGCGTCTGGTACGCGGTGACCTGGAACAAAATCATTCAAGGAAAATCTCGAGACTATACCTATGTATCTGGGAGTATGATTTTGATAGAACTCACCTAGAATCGGCTAACTCAATCCACTTGGATATCGTTGGTATGGCAAAAGAAATACTGTATATCGCAAACAATAGTGTGAAAACCAGCAAAGTACGCATTCTTCTGGGTTAGAATTGTCGACCGCACGGATAAAAATGAACTCTCAAAATGTCCAGGCAACGGCACGCCTAGAAAATATGCAAAAGTGCTTACTGCTTGAACAATGACCTAACTTTCTCGAATTCTGGTCACTTCCACGAAATCGCTAAACACGGTAGAAAACGGTAAAATACTTCCGACGGGTAACCCAACAAGGAAGATACGAAAAACAAGAAGAATAGCCATAGCGGAACACACCAAGCAGTCGAAAAAATGCATTCAAGTTATAGGAGGACGGCGAAATAGGAAGGGCATGAAGATGATCAGAACGGGCCTAGAATTCTTGTCCAACCTCAAACGAGATTACTCTGTCTGCCGTAAGGTATTCGTGAGCTGACCGAGTAGTACCCGAAATAAGTGGGCACAAATACACAAACATGGTGACAACATTTGTATTGGATAGTTCGGTTAGCTCGAGCTTGACCGTGGATATAGCCTTAGAGCGAAAATTCAGTAACAGTGGCAGTGGCCTACTTCCCCTTTCATCCTTTATGAGGTAGAATTAATTAGGGAAATGCAAAAAACCACCGTTATCGAAAAACGATAGGACTAAACACTTTGGGACTCTCGATGGATGGCTGACAGACAATGTTTTTATACCAAACGTATTTATTGTAATGTTATTCGCCAATGCCTCGAGATCAGCGTCATAAGTGATTCTCGTTTTGGTGTATTGTGATGTTGCTTGCCAACTCTATTCATATACCTACAACAAAAATAAATTGAGAGATTGCTTAGTCATTCAAAGTCAGAAACTACTTAAAGAAGAAGTGCAGAGAGGATGGCTAAGCAGTAAGCACAACCATCAAATCCCCACCTAGGTTTTGCTTAAATCAGTCAAACCTTTCTTTCTAGACCGGAGTCACCGGTGCCAGGTTCGTCCGACAGTATAAAAACGATGACTTGAACGCCTGCCAGTCCTGTGAGTTACCACACAGGCCAGATACGCATGGAAACACAACGAATTTGGATAGGATTCGAACACGAAGCGCAACATGAGAGCTTTTTCTATTTTGCACTGAATTCTGTTTCGGAGTCTGTGGAGCTTTTGCTTACTTTATATGGCATTTGAATGGACTTAATTCCATTCAATACAATGAACTCTCCTAATCACTTGAGGATGCTTGGCAGCATTCCACCGCTCGAAAGCCTAGGTTATTTCTCGAAGGTTGAGGCGGTGTTTGATACCCTGAATGATTGTTGATTAGTACGGGACTCAGCCTAGTGATCAATCAAAGAAACCCTCAGTTTGCAAAAACAACAGTGACGATTGGTAAACGAATAACAGCAATGTACTTCCCACAACAATCCGAAGTTTGTTCTGCTGCCTCTGTCTTGACACTAGCAACTGGTCTCTGTTATTCTATCATTACCGTTCACTTACATCTTACTTTCATCTAGTAAAAAATTTTATTTCTACCTATACTTATTGTGTTAGTGAACATTGACTTCGTGCTCTACTGTTCTCCATCGGCCGAATTAGGAATTTGGACGGAGTGGGAATTCAGTTTCATTTTCAAATGCGATGGTGACAGCCCAGGCTATGAAGTAGATATGATCAGAAGCAAATACTGATGCTGCTACTTCTACATCGAAGGACAAACCATAGATGGCACCTTCGAATTAAAACCGTCGAAGCGAATTAAAACCTTCCACCCTTTTGATATCAGGAAGCAGGCCCTACGACTCTACCTTTTTGGGAGAAGTCAGCGACTTGAATATCGGCCAATCCTACTTTCCCTCGCAGGCATTCCTATAAGCAGGCCTTACGACCCGCTTCCTGCTCATCTTGAACAATTTCGTTTGCTGCATTTGTTTTCCAATCAGCTATTAAGTACTCTAGTTTCCNTCCAATCCAACAAAAGGCATTGAAGCATTATTGGTAAAAAAAGAGTTCAGTAGCGGGAACGCATAGTAGCTTTTCCTCTTTTCTGGAAATGCCATGAACAGTGTTGAAGTTAACACCGTTGGACACCCCATCCCATTTGCACATAAAATCTATTTCGACTCCTTTCTATGCGCAGCGATACGACTTTGAGCATGGTCTGGCCTACAAGTACCGAATTATACAGGTATGTGGGAAGGGGATTCGCTTCTGAACAGCCAAAAAAGTCAAATGCACAGCCTAATCCGAACATTTTGATTGAAGTAGATTTTCCTAGTTGATTTCAGAATGAAAATCATTACAGCAGACCTACTTTGTTTGACTGGAGGACGCAAAGTCGTCCCGAAACCCATCGTCGCTTCTAGATATTAACAGGGTTTTGGTCAGTTTAAGTTTTTTTCACAGGTTAGGCTATCGCTCATTCCTGCAGTTTCAAATCCATCGTTTCATCCATCGCTCTCATGTAAACCCTACATTGATATCTGAAAACCTACACTTACCTACCTTTTTGCTAACTTTTTTTTGAACCTATGAATTTTAGTTCTGCCATTTGTTTCTCAGCAGTCCTGTTCCACCAAGTTTATTTTCTTAGTACCAACGCAACAGTAGTTATTACTGAAAACGAGTGTCCTATTTATAAGTAGGACGTACGTCTTTTTCCCTCGTTGGACTAGCGCTCTCGGTATACCCTCATCTTGACGGAGGAGACCGTAGGATATATTTAAGGTAACTGTCAGTTTTCATGCTTTACCTCCTCACTCAAACAGTTTTTGTAAACGAACGGAAACTGTGGACTGATTGTTTTTGTCATGATATGAGATGGAGATACAGATATCTCCGAATCTCGATGAGCTTCTCTGAATTCCTGTCCTTGAATACGAGTTGCTTATTGACCAACCTTAACAGAATGTGCAAAACAAAACAGAGGAAGCATTTCAACAATCGAAAATCGAGACTTTTGGAAATTCTAAAGACCTCTTAACTGACTTCATTTTGCAATTATCCTTCGACCCCCTTACGACTCCAACTTCTATGTAGGTGACTTGGATAGGTATGGCTACCCCTCTCCAGGTTCCCAAAGCAGTTAGCATGCGAGGCAATCTTCTCTTACAATTTTAAGTGCTTCTACTTCCCTTAGAATAAGTTCACCTCATTCTGTGCAGGAAAATGTGTACTTTTGATTGCGCTTCTTCTCCAGGCCCTGCAAGCGAGTAACTGTCTACCCAGTATGACTTTTTCGTAAAATTCATAGTCCGTTTGTTGATGTTTTTGATCTTATCTGAAGTGGTTACTCATCTGGTAACATATTTGACTTTCACTCAAGCAATTTTTAGAAAAAATTTTGATGAGGATGGTTGCTATGGGATAGTTGCCAGGGTCAAGGTTATGCAATTTGATGAACTTGTTGAACAGTGCTGTAACAGAAAAACTTAAACGGCCGACATCATTCATCAGGTAAGCATTGGGAGCGGAACCTATTTTTCAAAAATTTCTTGCATAATTTTAACATTATAATGTTACCTGAGTAATATTGTTGATATAAATTACTACATGTCGAAATTTTGGAGTTTTGAAAGTTCAGGTCTTTCAATCACCCTTGAAATTAATATCGAGACAGTTTGTTTACGTCTATACATAAAAATACGTGTTCAACGATGACCGATTTAGGTTTGTAGTAAGCCGCGCATTTGAACTCTAACAAGAGTAGTAGTAGAGCCGATGCGCATCAGCGCTGGACTGTAGCAGGAGGGACCGGGGGAGATGTATAAAAAAATTCCCTAATGAACCATTTCAATATCAACTATGCGATGACGTAGTTCTTCAACTGCCCCACATATGTTCCTTAATTTCATTTTCGCTACTTTGGCTATGCCGACGTCATTCTTTCCCCGTGAAAACAGACAGGTTTCCTTTTTCTGTGCATATTACACAGTTTGAACACGTGATTTTCTCGACGTACGGCATCAACATCTCAAATGGCCGTCAGTGCACTACTTGGTCTCATGGGGGGAAAGTGCAAAAACAGTCATCAGAGATCAGAACTGTTAATGTAGCAATAACAATGAGCGGCGGGCTGAAGATCGGGTAGGAGTTAAGGAATTAGGCTTTGGCTTGCCTGATTCATTTGCGCTCGATATCATCTATCAGCTCCTCATTGCACGGTCACTTTGCAAAGAGACTTTTTGCAGAGGGACAGATCGACAAATACGGCGATAGGAAGCAATCACTGAGGACCCATTTCATAATCTAAGCACCGTTCTACCTTTTATTGATGAAGAAATAAACTAATAGGTTGATTAAAGGGATTGCCTTCCAGATTCTGACGGTGTGTTTTCGAGACGAATCAACCTGGAAGTCAGAAGTATCATCATCTGTCACTCCCACGGCTTGCCGCTTACTTGTGCGATTCTTGCGGTTAAAGTCTACGCAAAAAGGATGGAAGGCTGAGACTCGAGGAACTCTTATGGTCAGAGTCTCGCTGAGTCTGACATCATTCCTGGACATTTCGGCTGGCGTGGAGAACTATGACTTGCTAGTAATCCTTCTATTCACCGCACTCTAAACATTGTTCCTTCCGACTTCCCACTTTTCACCATCTCCAGAGCTTTGTTACCTGGTAAGAAAAATGAATGCTCTGTTTCTGGGCGATTTCATTCGTCTCCTCTAACTAGCAGATCGTTTAGCACATCGAGTTCAGTACTGCTCTTTTATTCAAGAGAAGGTTCTTCGATAAACGATTTCTTATACATTAGAAATCTAATATGTAAGTATACTTCTGGAAGGGCATTTAGCAAGTAAACGCCACTTAAACTTGGTGTTTTCGCGAAACGAAGGCAGAAGCGTCTCAGTTGCGTTCTGCCGTTTAATGCGCCATTTTGGCTTTAGGGTTTGACGCTAAAGCCTGACATTACCGGATGGGCCAAAAGTTCTGACCGGTAATGTTCTGCAGAACAGCAACACAACTTTTCCACGTCCGAATCCATGAATTTTGGGCGGAATGGATTGATAAGCCTACCTGTCGTCGTTGATGGTGCCTAGCTCTTGTTGAAACTTTTGGAAAGCCTTACACATATT